TTCCCTTCTGTTTTGTTTCATTTCCCCAGGAAATATTTCATGTCTCCTATTTCCCAGTACAGTGATTAGTTACACCTCTGAACATGTCAAGGGATGGAAAGATGGCTCTGCTTCCTACTATCACTTCTGTCCCTTTGCATAATACAGAAAGAAATGAGCTGTTTCTTCTGCAAACAGTGGAACAAATCAGTAGCAATAGTCTCTCGTGCTTCATCTGTTCTCTTATGCTGAAGTAGAAGATGGGACCTGGATCAGCTTTTCATGTGCACATACATTCTGGGAACAGATAATTTGTTATGTAGAAAGCATGGATTCAGCATGCAAATGTGCCCCTTGGTGAGGCAGATTATTTGCCTTACTCTGATAACCGAAGTAAGGAAGCTCTTGGCCTCATCTCAGCTACTGCAGTTTCCCATAGCGTTGGCATCCCTGGAATAGATTGGTTTCAGTTAAATCTTTCATCATCATCATGCTAATGCAGAAAATAGACAAGGGCTGAAAAGAGATATATCCAGAAAATAGAGATTAGAGGACACCAAGGCCCAGCAGGGACGTAAGGATTCACTGGAAGCTTCCTGGAGACCCATGATACCTCAGCTGTGCTACACTGAAACTTAGTGGATCGGAGAGTTTGGCCACCTGTAACTGATGTGCCCTTTTGCCCCCCACCTGCTTTAGACTAGTTGCTCCTACAATAAATTAAAAAAAAAAATCCTGAAGAAATTTCTGCATAATGGCTAATAAGAAATACAACCAGAAAAATGTTGGAACATTTCCAAAATGAAGCCATCTGAAGAATAGGATCAGTGAGAATATCCCTGCTGGACCAAAGGAAGATTTAAAAGAAGAAAAAAATTCTATTGCTGAATATCTATATCACTGTCCTTCAAAGGACAGTAATATAGCAGGGTCCGCAAGGTTAAAAAAGCAAAAATACTAATCTGAATTTATGCGAGGCCTTTTAAAAACTATTAAGTGTCTATTTTCCCCATTTTTTTGATAAAGTAGATATGCTTGAGAGTGTGAATGAAATAGAAGTTAATTGGAGCCAGAACAGAGGAGCCAAAACGTGGAGAAGAAGGAAGATGAGAAGTCATAGAATCACAGAATAATTCAGCTCGGAAGAACCAGATTTTTCAGTGCACCTTCAAAGACAGAGACTGCGCAGCTCTCTGAGGTATTCTGCTACCAATGCTTGAACGCCCTGAGAGTGAAGAGCTTTTCCCTTATATCCAGTGGAACCCTCTCATTTCAGTTGTTGTTGTGTCTCATCCTTCTGCCATGTGCCTCTGTGAAGAGCCTTGCTCTGTTCTCTGGAAAACCTCCTCTGCCCTTTCACGAAGAGGAGATGCGTGTGCCACCAGAAACCTTCTGCCCTCTGGCTGAGCTACTCGACATCCTCGGGCTCACTGAGCAGTGGGTGGTGTTGCAAGGAAGCCAGCCACCAGCAGTGCATCACGTTTTTCAAAAGTTTACCATTGTGCATACCCAGATCCCATGGAATGCAGGAGGAGAAATCAGGCTGATTTTCATGCAAGTTTGATTGAAGTACTTTTCACACTCTTAACTACAAGTTTAAGCTTTGTAACTTTTTAGGGTTTTTTTAGTTCCAGGTAGAAAAATATTTGAGCTAGCAGGTGTGTGAGCTGTTCCTGTACTACTAGTAGACATTCTGAGCATGTATTGGAGGACAGTTTACTGCTCTGAATCGCTAACATATGGTAAAATATTAAATTGCTACGTACCATTATTCAGAATGTTGCACAGATGAGTGCCGATATTTCCCAAATGTTTTGCATGCCCCATAAAAGCAAATTTTGCCCTAACTTCAGGAACAGTACAATTTAAAATGATGTCAATTTTGTGTCACATATTCTAAGCGTTAGAGTTGTTCCATCTTCAGCAAACATGCTTATGGGCTCCAAGATACCCACGGTCTTTTTCCATGAGTTTTCATTGTTGATTAAAACTAAATAGATCTTTAATATTGCAGTAAAGTCAAAGAATCAAAAGCAGAAAAATATGAAATGCAAAAGTCAGTTACTTATTTATTCTGTTTTATCATACACAAGGGCAAATGAAGCTGACAGCCTATTTTTAAATGGATATAGCGATTGCAATTTTGTAAGTAGTAGTAGTAGAATTTGACAAAAATGATTTAGGTGGTACAAATGCTTATAAATCAGTCCCACATTGTTCTTGTTCTTTTTGTAATTGTCTGATAAAACGTCCATTAGTTTCTGTAATTAACCTAATGGTCTAAATGAATTTCC